CAAAGAAGGAGTCAAATATATTCAATTGAATTTTTTAATACATGGGTCTCTTTAACAACCAATAGAATAAAAACTACAATTAATTTTGATTATTTTTTAATAGTTAATGTAACTTTAGACCCAATAAAATAATAAAATAAATATTTGACACATCTATTAGAATGCTTCGAAAACGTTAAGAGGTAAAACAAAATATGAGAAGTATGCACCAACAAGTACAACGAGCAACATTGTGAATGGTAACTTTAGACCCAATAAAATAATAAAATAAATATTTAACATATCTATTAGAACACTTCGAAAACGTTAAGAGGTAAAACAGAATATGAGAAGTATGCACCAACAAGTACAACGAGCAACATTGTGAATGGTATAGCCACCGCCACCTAGAAGCAAGAGTGGGACATTGAAGGATCTAATATATCTAGCACACTCGGCGTGAACTTTGATGGAAAGATTGAAGCAGCCTAGCCCGTCCCCAGATAAGGAATCAGCACCACATTGGCGAACCACATCCCCAGGTTTAAAATTTTCCATAACCTTCCCAATGATGGGCTTGAACAAGTAATGGTAGCTCTCATCATCAATCCCGTCATCCAATGGAACATAGTGAGTAATATCACGAATGTCCCCCGTGCCAGGGAAATTCTTGAAATTTTTGGGATGTCATACCGAACCAAACCAGCATTACGTATTTATTCATTTTTTCATTGATATCATTCCAACCCTGAACTTTGTGTAGCAGTTCACCAGAATTAAGAATTTGAATGGTTAATCTTAATTATGCGCGGAATTAATCCTAGGCTTGGGTATCTTATAAGATGAATTAGGTCAGATACCTAAAGTTCTGGCAACGATGGAAGAAATTATTCTACTTTTTTTAGTACCCATGTTAGCCTAGAAACATGGTTAAGACCATCTCCAACCGAAGCCCTCTGGCCCTCCAGGAAATTAATATTTTAATGAACAATGCAGGGTCATATTTCTTACCATCTTCAACAGATAGCCAAAGGGCTATAGGGCTGTTTTAGTCATGTCACAAAAAACCGTCTCCAACCGAGGGCCATATGGCCAAACATAATTTATTATTTAAATTTAAAAACTACAACAAATTAAATTTAAAAACTACAACTTATATTTAAAAACAACAACTAAAATTTAAAAACTACAAGAACTTAAATCTAAAAACTACAACAACTTAAATTTAAAAATTACAACTTAAATTTAATATCTAAAATCATCATTATCTTCATCATCCACCATTGTAGGAGTATAGTCGGAGGTAAACAATTGTCGACGGGTCATAATTTCTTCTTTGTTGTCCTATCAAAATAGGTCTTACTCATTGGAGTGTAATTTGAAGTGTTTCTTTCCATATTCTTATCATCTATCTCTTCTTGTATTTGTTTGGCCCGTTCTTCATGCCTACAATTCCTTTCTTCTGTAGCAAATGCATTTTGCCCCACCATTAATCGCAATGAGTCCACCACTTCCTATTGAGCGACGTAATCATTATTTACCTTGCCCTTTTCATTCAACCTTTGGGCCTTGTTTCGTCCTATAGCCCTATGTATGGAACCTTCACCCGAAGACGGATTTTCTACCCTTATTTGTTGAATGGTAGGAGATCCATCTTCATCCATATCTACAACTGAGGTGGATCTACTCTATGTTGAGGTGGATCCTCAAAGAACACCCACCCTTTACAAATTTCCCAACAATCGTGAAACTGAAAGGGTTTCGAGCTGCCCTTCATATATAATTTCTCCGCTTGACGTACCTAGAAAATATAATTACAAAAATTAAAAGGAATTAATTTATGAAATTAAATGTAATATAATTAAATATTTAAAATAAATTTTGAAAACACTTACTTCGTCGTAGTAATTGGCGCCGCTTTCATGTCTATTTGCTGCTGCTAACAGTGCTTGATGCCATTTGTTCAAACTTGGATGAAGATGTTTCTTCCATCTTGAAGAACGACTCTCGTGGTTTCGGGTATTCGGTGGAGTGGTGCATTCGTAGAACTCTCAGTATTTTTTTGACACACGAGTCCAAACACCTTCACTTGTTTGAGAACCTCCCCTCACATTATCTTCTAAGACCCATCTATAAGTCCTGCAAAGAGCTTCATCTTCGTTTTGGATCCAAGCCCTACCTTTCATTGCAGATGGAGCAATTTGAAAATTATTGAAAAAATTGAAGGAAAGATTATTGGAAGAGTGAAGAAAATATGAGAATTGAAATGGTGTAGGAATGGTGAAAAAAATGTGACAAATGGTGTAGGAATGTCCTAAGTATTTATAGGAAAAATTGAGAATTTTTTAAACAAAATTTTGGCCCAAAAAAAAAAAATCAAACACAACTGTAACTAACGTCAGCTAGCCGTTGGAGTTCAAATTTTAGCCCGGGCCGTGGCCGGCTGGTTGGCCTTTTGGCTCTTTTTTGTCCAGTGGAACCCACGAGCCATTTGGCCTGATCCTTGGTTAGAGACAATTTTCGGATTATTTTTGGCCCTCTGGACCATTCGGTTAGAGATAGTCTAAGCTTTGTATTGTTAGCCTAGAAACATGGTTAAACTTTGCAGGCTTGCTTGCCTGTTGCTTTGGAGTTAGAGTTCAATTGTTTAAACTTAAGATCTATATTTTGAAGTTAAGGGAAAATATGGTGTATAGTCTTTTACATTGAAGTCGATACAGAGTCCGAGACTAGGGTAGATAATTTTGTGTAATGTGTATTGTGTATGTTCTGTGTTTTGTATTTTGTGTTGTGTGTTTTGTGTGTGTGTGTGTGTGTGTTGCTTATTCATGGAGTTTGACTGGTGATTTTTCCCTTAATCTTGAACTTTTCCACGTTAAGTCTGAGACCCAATCTCTACATCCGTTGATATATTATTGTTGTTGGCATGTCATCCTTTATTTTTCTCAACAACTGTGTAGTCTCTCATCCTTTATTTTTCTCTACATATATTCATGAATTGGTATTTTAGTTGGTATGAAATTTTAGATTGGTATAAGGTAAAAAAATTCAAATTTCAATTGATATGAAATTTGGCTGACAAAATTTTAGGTCAAAGTCCAGCCAAAAATCTCAAGTTTCAGCCCAAAAACCTAAAACCCAAAACCCAAAATCCAGTCTGAAATACATAAAACCTTTTGAGAATTTCGAAATTCGGGAATATAAAAATTTTGGATCAGGGTCGGTCTTCAGATTCCCGTCTCAAAAATGATCAGTTCGGGATTCGACATCCCATATCAAACTAGCCTTAATAATGACTTTCTTACTTTGGGCAAGGCACATATATTCAGGCGAAATTTTGGACTTTCTTATGGTCATTTTTGTTAATTCCGTCAGAATTCCTTCAAAATGAGTTATATTAGAATGACCATTGCTCTAATTAGGTTATAGTTAAGGGACTGTTACTCGAATTGGGTTATGTTGAGGGACCATTTCTCTAGTTGGGTTAAATTTGAGGGACCATTATTACAATTTATCTCATTTGATTTGCCCCTCGATTCAACCTCATGTGAGTGCATTGCACATGACTCATTTTAATGAAAGTTTTAACAGAGTTGAAGAAACGAACCATAGTTGTACGTTTTGAAGAGTTAAGGGACCAATGATCATAAATTTTTAATTGAGAGACCATTACTCTAATTGAGTTAAAGTTGAGGAACCATTGCTACAATTTCCTATTTAACAAAAAATCATCTTATAATGAAAATGATTTAAATTTTAATGAAAAAAATTTAAATTTTAATATAAAAACGAACTTTTAATATAATAAAAAAAATATAAAAAAGTAATTAAAAACTGACACGCACACTATTTTTTAAACTGAACGGTACTATATTATTTCTGAAATTAAAAACTATTTCTAAAAATTGAACATTATTTCTAAAAACTGAGTATTAATTATTCCTGAAATTAAACACGAGTACTAAGTTATCTTTGAAATTGAATACGGATACTACACAATTTTTGAAACTGAACACGAACACTAAAATTATTTCTAAAACGGAACACATGCTTATTTTTGAAACTAAACACAATTAGCGTCCATTTATTATTTCTTAAACTGAATATGGTATGACAAGTTATTGGCAGGAACGAGAGCGTAGTTCTCTAGATCACACATCAATGCCACCGGCAACGGACCAATATTGTCTCCCTTCATTTTTCCATCCCCTCATACTTTCTCAACCTTTCATTTCATGCTAAGTTGATTTAAATCTCTAGATTTTGCGAGGTCACCAATAGCACTCATCCCTAATTTTCTTACCTTTACCACCACCACCACCAAAGCTCAACCCAAGACAGAGATCGAGTCCAGACCCCTCAAGGTTAGAAGAGTCCTCAGGAGACATGGCAAAACTCTCTTTCCTGGACAACGGTGACTTAGCCAATGACCCACTATCAGAACCTCATCCACTTTCCATTGAAACAAATGAAGCTTCCCCCTTTCCACCTCAAATCTAATCAGAAAGCTCACAGAATCAGAACCCAGATGGTGAATTTTATAAAATTTGCAAGTGGAGTGATTGCATAAAAGGAGAGACAAGGCAGCTAGAAGGGAGCATGAAATGCAGTTAAAGAGGCCGGAATATTGGGCATTAATGAAACGTGAGGAGTGTTGGCAATGCGGCAAAATCTGAAGCTTTAAATTAGCTTGACATGAAATGAATGGCTGAGATAGTAGGAGGTGATGGAAGGGGATAGGAAGGGGAGGGGTGACAATTATTTCTGAAATGAAACATGAGGTACTTTACATTATCTATCTATTCTAAAGTTGAGGAGGGGTGGTAGCTACAGTACAATTTGAATTGAAGATTTCAGTTTATTTACTACATTGCCACTGGGTTTTGGGCCTTTCTTCACAAAAAATAGGCAGGTTCGGTTTGTTGGCGTTTGGGCCCGATGTGGGCTGTCACGTGGGTTGGGGATAGGATTCACTGAAAGCATTAAAATTACTCTTTTGCGTATTTTCAATCCAGATCGAACGGACCGGGCTATAGAACTTGGGGGTAATTTTGTAATTGTGCATTTAAAGGGATGTGATTGGTGTGATGACATCGAGGGGATGGTTCTGAGAGGTTGACGGGACGTGTTGCAGAAAGAGTGAAGGAGTAGGCGTAGGTATTCCAGAGAGGGAAAGAGACAGGGTTGAGCGGTGATGCTGAATTTGGGGTATGGGAGAAATGGGAATTGCAGAGAGAGGGAGGGAGGGATGGGGTTGGGTTTGAAAGATTTTCTCCGCCTAGGATTGTTCGGGTAAGATTTCGACAGCGTTGTCCCTCTTCTGAGGTCCTCCCCAACGAAGCCGTCAATCGCCTCCTCGCTTAAGGTCCTCCCCATATCTATCTATGTCCTTACTTTCTCTCTAAAACTTGTACCCTTTGGGTTTAGGTTTCATCAGATGGCGTTGGTAGTGTTTATACTAAACTGTTGACTCTTTTATTCTTTGTAGGTGAAATTGAAGGTCAGTAGATCTCCTAAATTGATGAGGGGCTACAATTCGTGCAAGGAAAAAGCCAGAGATATGCTACTATTTTGGAAGAGAATAGATCAAGAGATGGTATCCTTCCCTTCTCCTCTGGAAATGCATTGAGTACAAGAAGTATATGCATGAAAATATAAAAATGCATGTCTTTTTATCCTATTGATCTTAAATTTAGTCCTCTCTAATGATGTGTAGTAGGCCTCAAATTCATATCTTGAAATATTCATGTCTAAAGTTCTGTAGATCTTCTGTTTTGGGGTTTATTTTTTTTTTGGAAGTTTTAACGAAAAGCCCACGGCACTGTTCACTTTAACGAAAAGTCAAATTTGGTATTCACTTTTCATTAGTTTTCCTTTTTTTTTTCCTATTTTAGGCCAAATAAAAAAATTAGTATGAAGTCTGGATAGTCATTTAGAATTTTGGTAATATTGAGAGTCGACGAAAAACCATATTTTTACACTATAAAGTCAAATTTGGTATTCACTTTTCATTAGTTTTCCTTTTTTTTTTTTCCTATTTTAGGCCAAATAAAAAAATTAGTATGAAGTCTGGATAGTCATTTAGAATTTTGGTGATATTGAGAGTTGATGAAGTAGGTGATGAAGGAGGAGGGGATGGAGAAGGTGAAGGTACTGACGGAGAAGGTGAAGGTAGTGATCGAGAAGGTTATGATATTGGTGAATTTAAGTCTGAAGGCACTATTACTTTGCTAATTTGCACCGTTGATATATAATAATTTTCATCAGAAGCAATATGTCGAACTACCGCTGCTTCGTCAAAATGAGCAGTTGAAACAATCGAGTTTATTTAATTATGATTTTTCTTATTAATTTGACCATGAAAATTGTCAATTATTTTCTAAATATTGGATGAATTGAGCAGTTTGTGTTACCCCTGTTAGTCATTTTCATGCTCATTATTTAATTGCGGACATTACACTAAACGTGTTCAATTGGTTTCATAATTTCTGATAAGTTCATGCCCATTGAACGCATCAACTTCTTATATATATATATATATATATATATATATATATATATATGTGACTGCTTGAATCAGGACTTATCGAAAGAAGACAGCAATTTGAGCCTTGGCCTGTAGAGATACGATTTTGCAAGGAAGCTAGGTACCTTCTAAACTTATTGGATGTGAAGATTTGTATGATTAAATTTGTGATTAATGTAAGTGGAATTTATTAAAATTTTCATGATTTTATAGAATTTTTCGTTTAAATTTGTGGGTTTTTTCATTTAAATTGTGGGTTTTGGAGAATTCTTAGTCAAATTTATGGGTTCTTTTGATGCGAATTTATGTGAGATTAATCAACTGCAATGTCGGATATGATAATAGGTGGGCATGTTCATATGTTTTCCAATGTTGTTATATACTCTCCTATCAACTTTGAATGTTGAATTAGTCAACTATTAATGTCAGATTAATCAAAGTTGGGCATCAATTCATATGTTTTTCAATGTTAAATAAAAACGACGCAATTTTCATTTGGTTTTGAGTATGTGATTTTTTAAGTAGAATAGTGGGGGATTCATTTGTTAAAATTCCTCAATGATCATTTGAATATAAACTAAACTGCTGTTCTGCTTAAAGCGCTCTAATACATGCATAATATGAATGAATATGTAAAGACTACTTGAGAAACTAATAGTAAACATAATATGAATGATTTTATTTGTTTCTATCTTTTTTTTGGGTTTGTCTGCTATGGCTATTATGAGTTTCTGGTTTTCTTCATGTTTCAGGTAGTTGCTTCTTTAGGGAGTCAGGGACTTATGACATAACATTAGAGATGGGAAAGAAGGTGATATGTCAAAGGTAATTTTCGTTATCCGTTCAATTTTGATGGTGGCCCTTATATATCCATGTACATATGCGTATGTGTGTGTGTGTGTAGCTCGATCATCTAACAAAAAACATGCTAAACTATATAGAAAATGAAAATTATATGTATTAGTGTGTAAAGGTGTTGCCTTTCTATTATTTTGTAGTACACTACTTTTATTGTGCTAGGCACTATTCTCTATCATTCAGAAGTAATTTGCACACAACAATTTAGAACGTTTTATGTGTAAATTTCCAAAATCATGGCACTATTGATGGTTGCTATCTAAGCGGCCAAACTAGGTTCATAGTGTATTGAAGTTGGATGATTTCTTAACTGCAGTCTTGAAGTGCAGGAACTGTGGAACCTGCAATGGTTGGCAGGCATTGCGGTGTACCATGTGCAGATGATTAGGGAGGGTGCAATACCAAATGAAGAATTACACCTTGAGAAGGTAGACTTCATTTAGATTTTGACCTCTATGTCTGGAAAATAAGGTTTGTGATTTTGGTATGCATATGTGGTTCTTGGTTTTAAGAATGAAAGTTACTTTTGTCTTGAAATTGCAATTTGAGTTGATGTCTATGTCTGTGTGTTCTGTGAATTTGTTTTGAGAACAAAAGTTACATTGGTTTTGAAATGGCATGCTTGATTCATTGAAAAGTAGGAAAAAATGGGATTTTTAGTTGGTTTATATAATCTTTTATACAACAACAACAACAACAACAACAAAGCCTTTTCCCACTAAGTGGGGTCGGCTATATGAATCCTAGAACGCCATTGCGCTCGGTTTTGTGTCATGTCCTCCGTTAGATCCAAGTACTCTAAGTCTTTTCTTAGAGTCTCTTCCAAAGTTTTCCTAGGTCTTCCTCTACCCCTTCGGCCCTGACCCTCTGTCCCGTAGTCACATCTTCGAACCGGAGCGTTATTCGGCCTTCTTTGCACATGTCCAAATCACCGGAGCCGATTTTCTCTCATCTTTCCTACAATTTCGGCTACTCCTACTTTACCTCGGATATCCTCATTCCCAATCTTATCCTTTCTCGTGTGCCCACACATCCCACGAAGCATCCTCATCCTCATCTCCGCTACACCCATTTTGTGTACGTGTTGATGCTTCACCACCCAACATTCTGTGTCATACAACAACATCGCTGGCCTTATTGCCGTCCTATAAATTTTTCCCTTGAGCTTCAGTGGCCTACGACGGTCACACAACACGCCGGATGCATTCTTACACTTCATCCATCCAGCTCGTATTCTATGGTTGAGATCTCCATCTAATTCTCCGTTCTCTTGCAAGATAGATCCTAGGTAGCGAAAACGGTCGCTTTTTGTGATCTTCGCTAGATTGCTCCGGTCATTAGTGTGGATAAGTATATAAATGGATAGAGATAGGAAAGCAAACACAAGATGTACGTGGTTCACCCAGATTGGCTACGTCCACGGAATAGAAGAGTTCTCATTAATTGTGAAGGGTTTACACAAGTACATAGGTTCAAGCTCTCCTTTAGTGAGTACAAGTGAATGATTTAGTACAAATGACATTAGGAAATATTGTGGGAGAATGATCTCGTAATCACGAAACTTCTAAGTATCGGAGTGTGGTGTCGTCTTGACTTGCCTTATCTGTCTCATAGGTAGATGTGGCATCTTCTCTGGAAGTACTCTTCCTCCATCCAGGGGTGGTATCTTTAACTGGTGGAGATGCACAAGGTAATGTATCAATTTCACTTGAAGCTTACTTGTAGTTTCAGGCTTGGTCAAGCGCGATACAAACCATGTAGTAGGAGTCCCCCAAGTCGCCGAGCTAGGGGGTCTGCTGAAAGAGGTGACAGACAAGGTAGCAATCAGAGCTCCGACTGATTGTTCACCTTCTCTCCCATCTTGCAGCAGCATGAAGGATAAAGAGAAGAAAAATGAGAAGAGATGATATGAGATACTTTTGCTTTTGAAGAAGTAACTTTCCACAGGCTTATTCTTGAACTGAGCTGGAGGGTTTTCTGGTTTCCTCCAGAGTATAAGGCCGACTGAAGAATTTGAGGGTCAAAACAAGTCCATCAAATCTAGAGTACGTTCCACCCTGCTGATATGGGATACTTTTGCTTTTGACAGAGAGTAATGGATGTATCGGCACGTGTGCTGTTACGCTTGTCTCCACATGCTTCCTTGTATCCTTCGCACTTGCCCTATCTGTTCCTCAAGCAGATGCGGAATCTTCCCTGGAAACATAAGATGTTGAAGATGAGTACTCGAGAGCAATGCCAGGTAAGTAATCAGGTAAGGGGTTCCAGGCAGTCAGTTCCTGGCTGGAAGCTTGATTCCAAGTGCTGACTGATTGCTCTCTTTCTCCTTGTCTTGCAGGTAAAAACAAGGCCAAAGGAAAAGACAGGGAAAAAGCATGATATGGGATACTCTTGCTTTTAACCCTGATGATATGAGATATTCTTGCTCTAGTATAGCTTGTTTGCAGAGGTATTATCGGGGGGAAAGAAAGCTGAATATTTCGAAAGGCTTTGTTGGGAGTGCCCTCTCAGATATGATGAAGGGTTGAGCATTTTTGCAGGTCTGCCTGTCCGTTGGGGATGGAGGTCGACATATATAGGAGTCTCCCTAACAAGTAGTAATGCTATTCCTTTACCCTGCTTGGTCATAGCACGGTAGTGGGAGCTGCCAGTTTCACATGTTTTAACTCTGTCAGAGCACTTTGAAAAAGTGGTCTGTGGTATCTGGCTCTCGAGATTCGGAGAACGATGCCTCTTCGATTTTTGAGAAAGCAATCATGCTGGGGGTCTGGCTCTCGAGATTCGGAGAGCAGTGTCTCTTCGATTTTTGAGGAAAGTAATCATGTTGGGAGTCTGGCTCTCTCGAGATTCGGAGGGCGGTGCCTCTTCGATTTTGGAGCAAGCAATCTTGTTGGGAGTGTTGTCTCGAATGTGAGTAAAGGTTGGGCATGTTTGCTAGTCTACCTTGCCACGAAGCACAAAGGTTGACACACAGGGACTTTCCAATTATCCAGCAATGGTACTGTTCCTTTACCCTCTCTTCGATTTTGAGAAAGTAGTCATGTTGGGAGTCTGGCTCTCGAGATTCGGAGGACGGTGCCTCTTCGATTTTGGAGCAAGCAATCTTGTTGGGAGTGTTTTCTCGAATGTGAGTAAAGGTTGGGCATGTTTGCTAGTCTACCTTGCCACGAAGCACAGAGGTTGACACACAGGGACTTTCCAATTATCCAGCAGTGGTACTGTTCCTTTACCCTTGTGGGTAATAATATGGTAGCTAGACCTTCAAAATTTATGTGTCTAAACTTTGTTAGTGCTGTTTCTTTGCTATTCTTTTACCTTTCTTGGTCAGAGCGATGTAGTGGGAGCTGCAAGCTTCACGTGCTCAACTTTGGCAGAGAACTTTGGCAAAGTTATCTGTGGTACCCATGAGCTATTGTTGCGTGTGGGAAGTGGGTGATTGAACAGTAAGATTCATGTGCTTTCTACTTCACCAGAAGTCTTCGACAGAATGCCCATAATTTCTGCAAAGCTGAGTGTGCGTGTGACAGGTGCTGACAAGGCTAGAAAAGTAGGTGCCTCTTCGATTTCTGAGATCGGCCCTCGTGGTCTCTGAGCAGCCCAGCTTTTGAGAAAGCGAGCGCCTCTTCGATTGATTCGGAGAACGATGCCTCATCGATTTTTGAGAAAGCAATCATGCTGGGGGTCTGGCTCTCGAGAGATTCGGGGAGCAGTGTCTCTTCGATTTTTGAGAAAGTAATCATGTTGGGAGTCTGGCTCTCGAGATTCGGAGGGCGGTGCCTCTTCGATTTTGGAGCAAGCAATCTTGTTGGGAGTGTTTTCTCGAATGTGAGTAAAGGTTGGGCATGTTTGCTAGTCTACCTTGCCACGAAGCACAGAGGTTGACACACAGGGACTTTCCAATTATCCAGCAATGGTACTGTTCCTTTACCCTCTCTTCGATTTTTAAGAAGTAGTCATGTTGGGAGTCTGGCTCTCGAGATTCGGAGGACGGTGCCTCTTCGATTTTGGAGCAAGCAATCTTATTGGGAGTGTTTTCTCGAATGTGAGTAAAGGTTGGGCATGTTTGCTAGTCTACCTTGCCACGAAGCACAGAGGTTGACACACAGGGACTTTCCAATTATCCAGCAGTGGTACTGTTCCTTTACCCTTGTGGGTAATAATATGGTAGCTAGACCTTCAAAATTTATGGGTCTAAACTTTGTTAGTGCTGTTTCTTTGCTATTCTTTTACCCTTCTTGGTCAGAGCGATGTAGTGGGAGCTGCAAGCTTCACGTGCTCAACTTTGGCAGAGAACTTTGGCAAAGTTATCTGTGGTACCCATGAGCTATTGTTGCGTGTGGGAAGTGGGTGATTGAACAGTAAGATTCATGTGTTTTCTACTTCCCCAGAAGTCTTCGACAGAATGCCCATAATTTCCGCAAAGCTGAGTGTGCGTGTGACAGGTGCTGACAAGGCTGGAAAAGTAGGTGCCTCTTCGATTTCTGAGATCGGCCCTCGTGGTCTCTGGGGAGCCCAGCTTTTGAGAAAGCGAGCGCCTCTTCGATTTCTGAGATCGGCCTTCGTGGTCTTTGAGCAGCCCAACTTTTGAGAAAGCAAACGCCTCTTCGATTTCTGAGATCAACCCTCGTGATCTCTAAGCAGCCCAGCTTTTGAGAAAGCAAACGCCTCTTCGATTTCTGAGCAGGCGCCTCTTCGATTTCTGAAGCTCCGTCGAGTGCAGATTTTTATAGGGGCTGGCATTAAGTTCCAAAGCACACTTGAATCTCCACCAGTAGAAGCTTCATTCTTGCACTTCTAAGATCTTGATTTGTCCGACCTCTTCTCTCTTCAACACCTTTGAAAATGTCTGGCCCCTCCGACCGTCGTTTTGACTTGAACCTTGTTGAAGAGGCAGCCCCGCCTTCTCCAGACAACATATGGCGCCCATCCTTCGTCTCCCCTACTGGTCCTCTTACCGTTGGGGATTCCGTGATGAAGAATGATATGACCGCTGCGGTGGTGGCCAGGAACCTTCTCACTCCCAAAGATAACAGACTACTTTCCAAACGGTCTGATGAGTTAGCTGTTAAGGATTCGCTGGCTCTCAGTGTTCAGTGTGCAGGTTCTGTGTCTAATATGGCCCAACGCCTATTTGCTCGAACCCGCCAAGTTGAATCATTGGCGGCTGAAGTGATGAGTCTCAAACAGGAGATTAGAGGGCTCAAGCATGAGAATAAACAGTTGCACCGGCTCGCACATGACTATGCTACAAACATGAAGAGGAAGCTTGACCAGATGAAGGAAACTGATGGTCAGGTTTTACTTGATCATCAGAGATTTGTGGGTTTGTTCCAAAGGCATTTATTGCCTTCGTCTTCTGGGGCTGTACCGCGTAATGAAGCTCCAAATGATCAACCTCTGATGCCTTCTCCTTCTAGGGTTCTGTCCAGTACTGAGGCTCCAAATGATCCTCCTCCGGTGCCTTCTCTTTCTGGGGCTCTACCGACTGCTGAGACTTCTCCTAAGCAACCTTTGTGAAGGCTCCCTCTTGTGTGTTTATTTTGACTCATGTATATGTACATATTTGTAGCTTATCGGGGATATCAATAAATAAGCTTTCCTTCATTTCAACGTATTGTGTTAAATACACCAAAGCCTTCTTCGCTAAGTTCTTTGAATTTTCTTTTGTTGAAGCTTGTATGTTGAAGCTTTCTGAGTGGAGCATGTAGGTTGGGGTAGTGTTCCCTTAATTTTCCGAGTGAAGAAAACTTCTCGGTTGGAGACTTGGAAAATCCAAGTCACTGAGTGGGATCGGCTATATGAATCTTAGAACGCCATTGTGCTCGATCCTGTGTCATGTCCTTCGTTAGATCCAAGTACTCTAAGTCTTTTCTTAAAGTCTCTTCCAAAGTTTTCCTAGGTCTTCCTCTACCCCTTCGGCCCTGAACCTCTGTCCCATAGTCGCATCTTCTAATCGGAGCGTCAGTAGGCCTTCTTTGCACATGTCCAAACCACCGTAACCGATTTTCTCTCATTTTTCCTTCCATTTCGGCTACTCCTACTTTACCCCGGATATCCTCATTCCTAATCTTATCCTTTCTCGTGTGCCCACACATCCAACGAAGCATCCTCATCTCCGCTACACCCATTTTGTGTACGTGTTGATGTTTCACCGCCCAACATTCTGTGCCATACAGCATCGCCGGCCTTATTGCCGTCCTATAAAATTTTCCCTTGAGCTTCAGTGGCATACGGCGGTCACATAACACGCCGGATGCACTCTTCCACTTCATCCATCCAGCTTGTATTCTATGGTTGAGATCTCCATCTAATTCTCCGTTCTTTTGCAAGATAGATCCTAGGTAACGAAAACGGTCGCTCTTTGGTATTTCTTGATCTCCGATCCTCACCCCTAACTCGTTTTGGCCTCCATTTGCACTGAACTTGCACTCCATATATTCTGTCTTTGATCGGCTTAGGCGAAGACCTTTATATAATCTTTTATACAAAGTCTTAAAATGCATGCTTGATTCATTCAAAAGTAGGAAAAAATGGGATTTTTGTAGTGAATTTTTCCTGTTTTGGTTCAATGGTTTGAGCAATATGGATAAAAGTTACATTGGTTTTTCAAATGGCATGTTTGATTCATTCAAAAGTAGGAAAATATGGGATTTTTAGTTTGTTTATATAATCTTTTATACAAAGTCTTAAAATGGCATTATTGATTCATTCAAAAGTAGGAAAAAAATGGGATTTTTGCAATGAATTTGTCCTGTTTTGGTTCAATGGTTTGAGCAATATGTACAAAAGTTACACTGGTTTTGAAATGTCATGCTTGATTCATTCAAAAGTAGAAAAAATTGGGATTTTTGCAGTAAATTTGTTCTGTTTTGGTTCAATGGTTTAGGCAAAAAACAAAGCTGCCTTTTTGGTTCAATAGTTTAGGCAAAAAACAACACTCCCCTATTAAAATGCCATGCTTGAATGCTCCTCTGTGTTTTGTTTGCGTGTGTATGTGTGTGCGCGCACGCTTTGTGTTTTATTTGGCTTCTGCTTCAATTAGATTTCAATCTTTAGACTGAATAAAACAAAAAACATGAATAGATTGTTAATGGATTTACTATGTTTGGGAATTTCAGGAATTTGGATCGTTGGAGGGAGAAGTTGGCCCCTTTGCATTTTGAGGTGTATTGTTATATGCCCTTGGCATTTTAATGCAATTGAAAATGCATTTTGAGGTGTATAGTCTCTCTTTCTCTATTCACAATTAATCTCTCTGCAACTACTACTTGCTAGATCTGAAGATGTTATGGATATGGCTTCTTCTCCTTCTTCCGCTGCTGCTCTTGCTGATGATACAAAAAAGTAATAGTTTTGGATATTATTTTGAAGCTGGAGAAAACAGACAAGCCCTTGTCAAATCGGTAACTTGTGAGAGGTTAGTCAGTGTTTATTGATACTGTTTAAGGCTCTTACTGTATTTTTTGTCATTTCTTTTTACATAAGTTTAGGTGTTATGTCATGCTGGCATTTAATTTGCTAATTAATATTTGTTATGTCTGCTGTTAATTTCTTCTCTGGAGACCTGTCACCGGATGTCACTTTGTTTTGTTTGCATCCTTATCAATTGTCTTCCTTTTGACGTTTGGATTAAACAGTTCTCTTAACAGAGGATCTGAAAAGCTTCATTACAAAATATTGAAAGAGAAAGAGCAAATGGAAATAGAAAAGGAGGAAGAGAACAGAAGAAAGAGGTCTCAAGTTGATTTTTTACATCCTTTTTGTGTGGTGTTTTTTGGTATGCATAATAATCTGATTTATGTTTATTGACTATACGAAACATAATCAAAACTTCTTTTGCAGGAATTGATCAGGTGACGATGATGATACTGATTGTGAGGGGAGCAAAGCAAGGAGAAAAGGTTTGCATTTTTATCATTTTATGGTTTTCAATTACTGGTAGTTTTACATGCTGAGATGACGTCGTTCATATCAAGATTGCAAATATATTTATATCTTTCTTTAAATTATAGTTTTTTTTCAAAGAAAATATGTGCCTATCATGTGCCCCATTTTCTACTTTCGATCATCTCTCACTCATTGAAACTTTGTGCATGTAATCAAAAGCCAATTCTAAGTAAATTCTCCTTAATTCGGTGCAACGTAATAATTTTATCTCTCTTTAATTAACAATTAATCTCTCTGCAACTACATCTTTTTGCTGGATCTGAAAACTAGAGGTTATGGATATCGCTTCTTCTTCTTCATCCGCTGCTGCTCCTGCTGATGCTGATGATACAAAAAAGTACGATGTGTTTATTAGTTTCAGAGGTGAGGACACCCGCCGTACTTTCACCAGCCACCTCCACGCTGCCTTACTTGAGAAAAAAATCACAACTTATATTGATGACAAGCTTAAGAGAGGAGATGAAATCACACCTGCCCTTCTCCAAGCAATCAAGGAATCAGAGCTTTCGGTGATCATTTTCTCGAAAGACTACGCTTCTTCCACGTGGTGTTTGGATGAGCTTGTGCATATCCTTGAATGCAAGGAAAAACATGGCCAGTTGGTTATACCCATTTTTTATGACACCCTTCCATCGGATGTACGAAAACAACAGAGGAGTTATGCACTTGATCTACTTGAACAACGTTTCCAGAACAGTATCGACAAGGTGCACAAGTGGAGGGATGCTTTGACGAATGCAGCAAATATATCTGGCTTTGATTCAAAAAATTATGGGTAACTAACTAGTTCTTTTAACTTGTATTAAATTTTAAATTTTTTTTAAACTTGTGACGATTTTATTTGTGCTAAGAGTTTGTAAGGTATATATATTTAAGACTAACTATTGCTTTCCTTCATAATCATATATACATATATATATATATACATACATACATACATATATATATATATATGCCAGGACGGATGCCGACTTAGTTAAGGAAGTTGTCAAGGATATTTGGGCCAAATTGTATCGCGAATCATCCTGCGATTTAAAGGGCTATGTTGGAATTGAAAGCCGCATCAAGAAGATAGAATCGCTATTAAGCATTCATTCACCGGACTCTTGCATCACTTTAGGTATTTGGGGAATGGTGGTATTGGCAAGACCACCCTTGCCGAAACTGTATTTCACAGACTCTTCTAAATTCGAAGCTTCTTGTTTTGTTAAGAATGTCAGGGAGAACTCAGAAAAAGCAGATGGACTAGATCACTTGGAAAAAACACTTCTTAAGGAGATATTAAAGGAAGAAGGTCTATCCATAGGAGCACCTTGTGTTCGAAAAAGGTTCTGCCGCACAAAGGTTCTCATTGTTCTTGATGATGTGAGTAGTTCAATGCAAATGGAACGTTTAGCTGGCAGTCGTCTCCGGTTTGGCACTGGAAGTAGAATCATTATCACAACTAGAGATAGGGGCACACTTGGGAAAACTGTTGAAGAGGATAATATCTACGAGGTTGAGGTATTAAAATCGAATGACGCTCTTCAGCTCTTCTATTCGCGTGCTTTCAAGGATAACAGTACTCGTAGAACAGATTATAAGGAGTTGACAGAAAAGGCGGTGGCTTATGCCAAAGGCGTTCCTTTAGCTCTTACAGTTCTGGGGTCCTTGGTCTTCAATTGCAAGAGCAAAGAAGAATGGGAAGATGAATTCAACAAATTGAAATGATCTCCCAGTGAAGATATCCATAAAGTGTTGAGAATAAGTTATGATAAATTGGGAGACAATGAGAAGGATATATTTCTGGATATAGCATGTTTTCATAAAGGGAATTCTGTGGTTGAAGTAAAACGAATGTTAGATGTTCGTGGATTCCATGCGACATCTGGAATTAGAATTCTCATTGAGATGTCTCTCATATCAATTAATTCAAAAGGGGGAATGGAAACCAGAGAGATGGACAATTTGCTACAAGAAATGGGAAGGGAAAAACCATAGAGATGCACGATTTGCTACCAGAAATGGGAAGGAAATTTGTTCAAAAACAAGGTATTAAAGATCCCGGTGAACGGAGTAGGTTGTTCAATGATGAGGATGTCTATCGTGTATTGAGGAGTAACACGGTAAGGGCCAAATGCATTCAATTTTTTTCTTGTCTTTTTTTTAGAAAATAAAAATTACAAACTTGAGATGATAACACAACAAAGTAAAACTAATTTATAATAAAGAAGTGAGATTGTTAAAAGATGAATTTGATTGAATATTTATTGTGTTAGGAAGTGTTTGGAATATGAACAAATGTTTGTTTATATAGACAAGTAGATGAGGATACAATTATGTTGGATATTTGACTAGACTAAGACACTTGTACATGATTACCATCGCAAATACTCTTTGTTCCAAATGTGTGTTACATTTTAATATGTTTATGTTCACATTTAAACTTTCTTATTCTCAGGAAACTCCAAATGTTGAAGCCATAGAGGTTGATTGGTTTATGGTTGATCATGCAGACTTCAAAAAGATTTCTAACCTAATAATGCTAATTGTTCTGGATGGTGGCTACAATTTGACCGCTTCTCTAGACCTTCCCGATTCTCTTCGTTATATTGACTGGTAGGAATATCCACTGGAATCTTTGCCCTTAAATTTTTGTCCGGAAAATCTAGTTGAGCTTCATATGACAGGTAGCGAAGTTAAGAAGCTTTGGAAAGAAGAGCATATATATTATATTATATGCCTATTTTAATTCTTGTACAAAATCAAGTGTAGAAATTATATTAATTCTTTATATTTCTATTTCATTTGTTGCAGATACTTGTCAACTTACAAGTGATTGAACTTCGGGGTTGTTCAAATCTAACTAAAGTTCCAAATCTCTCTGGGAGTCTAAAAATTGTGAAGATAGATCTCCAGGAATGCGAAAGTTTGGTTGAAATTCCTTCGTATTTTCAACATCTAGACAAGCTTACTCATCTTGATCTTGGATTCTGCTATCGTCTCAAGCATCTTCCAGAGATGCCAGGAAATATTCAATACTTGGATTTACAACACACTGGTATAAAGGAGTTGCCTGAATCGGTTTGGTCTAACGAAAATATTTCTTACTTGAATTTAAGGCAATGCGAAGACCTTAAGAATAATCCAAGCAGCAGGTGTAAGTTGAAAAATCTCGTGGAACTTGGTCTTGATTATTGCTTTAAATTTGAAAACTTCCCAAAGATTTTGGAGCCAATGGAACATTTGAATACCTTAAGTTTAATTGGAACAGCAGTTAAAGAGCTACCCTCATCAATCTGTAAGTTGAAATATCTTGAGAGACTTGATCTCAATGGTTGCTCTAGATTTTCCAAATTCCCTGTAATCTTGAAGCCAATGGAACATTTGGTGTCTCTTTGTTTGGAAGACACAGCTGTCGAAATGCTTCCTCTGTCTATTGGAAATCTAAATAGGCTTCAAGATTTAAACCTTAGTGGCTGCGATCAACTTAAGGATATCCCAACAAGTATCTACGGTTTAACCAATCTTAAACGTCTCAACTTTAATGGCTGTCGGAGACTTGAAAAATTGCCTTCCAGCTCTGTTGGTTTTCTCTCTTTAGAAGTACTTGACGTACACTGGTGCGAGCGGCTTCAATCTATACGAGAGCTCCCAGTGCTATGTAATGTTAAAGCTGAAGGCTGCACGTCGCTGAAGATAGTGTCCAGTTCAAGGACACTCACACAAGGTTGGAATAACCTAATTATTGTTTCAGATTTTTTACTAATTGCCCAAAATTGGATAATAATTCAAGGAGCAACATAATGGATGAAGCACAGATTACAATTACGCGAATGGCAACTGTTGCCCAAAATTGGTTGCCCCATAATCCCTGGCCTCGGATTAACATTGCATGTCCAGGAAAAGAAATTCCAAATTGGTTCAGCTATCAAAGTGAGGGATCTTCAGTAGACATCGAGCTTTGTCCAGATTGGTTTCGAACAGGTTTATTTGGTTTCGCTCTCTATGTTGTTGTTTCTTGGGTTTCAGAGTTGCGATATGACTTAGGGAGGGTAAGAGCTAATTTCATTGTCAAATTCATGGGTGAAAGCCATGAACTGTTCAGTTCTGAGTACACTATCCCAGGCAACGGGTACGACTACTGTTATGGCCAACATCACGTGCATGTGTGGAATGAGGCCTCTAGAAGTGAAGAGGTAGGTAAAAACTGCTCCCCTGATGTTTACAAACTTGCCAAAGAGGCCTCTGTTGTCTTCTACCCGTTATTTGTAGGTTCTGCTTTCGATATGAAGGTGGAAAGCTGTGGTATATGCCCATTGTATGCCGAAGATGCTGAGAAATTCAAATCTGGTCATGTGTTCATGTCGAGGGGACCAAAAGTAGAAGAAGAAACAAGACAAGATGATGATTCCAAAGGTAGTGGATCAGGAGATGAGCCTCAAGTTAGTGGATCAAGTGATGAGTCTGAAGCAAATGAAAGTGATTAGGAAAAACTTTTCAAGGCAAATTTGTACTTTGATAGCTCACTTGTCTGACCAAGAAATAAGACAACTAGGCAAGGCTTTTATTATTTTGGTATTGTTTATGCTTTATACATTATAAAGCGCTAGTTATGGACAAGTGTATAATAGCCTATTTGTTATCTTTCAAACTTGATTTACCTTTATATCATAAGCATAGCCATTAATTAACACACCATGCCAAGGCAAAGTAAAAATCTCACAACCAAGCGCGATAGTTTGAACATTCAACATGACAAAAATATTATACATCGCGTTACTGCTAAAGGAAGAAAAGAATGAAGAAAAAGCAAGATGCATACACAAAGAAATGAAAAACAAAAGATACATTACAAGTTCAATGGCTGAACTGCATTTTGATCCGGAAATATTCAATTTTCTCTCTAGCATCCAAGATTTCTTTACCCAAGTCTCTGGGATATTTGTTATGATTTGACACTTATCAGGAAGTAGGCACACATAAATTTGCTGCTCAAGATGAGAAAATTGGGGAAACATTAAAGTTCTAAGTACCTTTTTATTAGCTTCAGTTGCTTCTTTGAACTTTGAGTTCAGTGAGTTAACCTCCTCTATACTCAGTTGATCTACAAGATGTTTCTCCAATTCCAGTACTCTGGGTTTCCGCTAATTGGCCTGCTGCTTTTCCTCAGCATGAGAAGGAGCAACTGTCTTTGGTGGCCTTCCTCCAGCTGGGGGTGCCATGTGCCGAGCACCAAGACCAGGCATCAGTTGCTGCTGTTGTTGAAAGCCTTTTAAAGTGAAAAATAAGAAACTATTCTCCATCAAAGAAAGACAACAACAACAACAAAACCTTTTCCCACTAAGTGGGGTCGGCTATATGAATCCTAGAACGTCATTGCGCTCGGTTTTGTGTCATGTCCTCCGTTAGATCCAAGTACTCTAAGTCTTTTCTTAGGGTCTTCCAAAGTTTTCCTAGGTCTTCCTCTACCCCTTCGGCCCTGAACATCTATCCCGTAGTCTCATCTTAAGCTTGTATGTTGAAGCTTTGTGAGTGGAGCATGTAGGTTGAGGTAGTGTTCCCTTAATTTCCCGATTGAGGAAAACTTCTCGGTTGGAGACTTGAAAAATCCAAGTCACTGAGTGGGGTCGGCTATATGAATCTTAGAACGTCATTGTGCTCGGTCATGTGTCATGTCCTCCGTTAGATCCAAGTACTCTAAGTCTTTTCTTAAAGTCTCTTCCAAAGTTTTCCTAGGTCTTCCTCTACCCCTTCGGCCCTGAACCTCTGTCCCGTAGTCGCATCTTCTGAAGCGTCAGTATTCTGTCCGTAGTAGTCTTCCTCTACCCCTTCGCACCTCTTCCCTAACCGGAGCGTCAGTATGCCTCCTTTGCACATTCCAAACCGTAACGATTTTCTGCTCCATCCTACAATTCTCGCTACTCCTACTTTACCTCGGCTACTCCTATCCTTAATTAATCTTATCCTTTCTCGTGTGCCCACACATCCAACGCAACATCCTCATCTCCGCTACACCTATTTTGTGTACGTGTTAATGCTTCACCGCCCAACATTCTATGCCATACAGCATCGCCGGCCTTATTGCGGTCTTATAAAATTTTCCCTTGAGCTTCAGTGGCATACGACAGTCACACAACACGCCGGATGCACTCTTCCACTTCATTCATCCAGCTTGTATTCTATGGTTAAGATCTCTATCTAATTCTCCGTTCTTTTGCAAGATAGATCCTAGGTAGTGAAAACGGTCGCTCTTTGGTATTTCCTGATCTCCGATCCTCACCCCTAACTCATTTTGGCCTCCATTTGCACTGAACTTGCACTCCATATATTCTGTCTTTGATCGGCTTAGGCGAAGACATTTAGATTCCAACACTTCTCTCTAAAGGTTAAGCTTCGCATTTACCCATTCTTGAGTTTCATCTATCAACACTATATCGTCTGCGAAAAGCATACACCAAGGAATATCATCTTAAATATGTCTTGTTAACTCATCCATTACCAACGCAAAAAGTTAAGGACTTAAGGATGATCCTTGATGTAATCCTACAGTTATGGGGAAGCTTTCGGTTTGTCCTTCATGAGTTCTTACGGCAGTCTTTGTTCCTTCATACATATCCTTTATAGCTTGGATATATGCTACTCGTACTCATTTCTTCTCTAAAATCTTCCACAGAATGTCTCTTGGAACCCTATCATACGCTTTTTCCAAATCTATAAAAACCATGTATAAATCCTTTTTCCCATCTCTATATCTTTCCATCAATCTTCGTAAGAGATAGATTGCCTTCATGGTTGAACGCCTTGGCATGAACCCGAATTGGTTGTCCGAAACCCGTGACTCTTGCCTCAATCTATGCTCAATGACTCTCTCCCAGATCTTCATTGTATGACTCATTAGCTTAATACCCCTATAGTTCATGCAATTTTGTACGTCACCCTTATTCTTGTAAATAGGCACCAAAGTGCTCTTTCGCCACTCATTTGGCATCTTCTTCGTTTTTAAAATCCTATTGAAAAGGTCAGTGAGCCATGTTATACCTTTCTCTCCCAAGACTTTCCACACTTCGATCGTATATCGTCTGGGCCCACTGCTTTTCTATGCTTCATCTTCTTCAAAGCTACAATCACCTCTTCCTACCTAATTCGACGATAAAATAAGAAGTTTCTACACTCTTCTGAGTTACTCAACTCCCCTAAAGAAGTACTCCTTGCATGTCCTTCATTGAAAAGATTATGAAAATAACCCCTCCATCTGTCTTTGACCGCGTTCTCTGTAGCAAGAACCTTTCCTTCATCATCCTTGATGCACCTCACTTGGTTTAGGTCTCTTGTCTTCTTTTCCCTTGCTCTAGCTAGTTTATAGATATCTAACTCTTCTTCTTTGGTGTCTAGTCGCTTATACATATCGTCATAAGCCGCTAACTTAGCTTCTCTCACAGCTTTCTTCGCCTCTTGCTTTGCTCTTCTATACCTTTCACCATTTTCATCGGTCCTATCCTATAAGGCTTTACAACATTCCTTCTTAGCATTCACCTTTGTTTGTACATCCTCATTCCACCACCAAGAAACCTTTTGGTGTGGAGCAAAGCCATTGGACTCTCCTAATACCTCTTTTGCTACTTTTCGGATACAACTAGCCATGGAATCCCACATTTGGCTAGCTTCCCCCTCTCTATCCCTCACACACTGGGTGATTACTTTCTCTTTGAAAATGGCTTGTTTTTCTCCTTTTAGATTCCACCACCTAGTCTTTTGGCACTTCCAAGTCTTGTTCTTTGTTTTCACTCTTTTGATATGTACATCCATCACCAACAAGCGATGTTGATTAGCCAAGTTCTCTCCCGGTATAACTTTGCAATCCTTACAAGTTATACGATCCCCTTTCCTCATTAGAAGAAAATCTATTTGTGTTTTTGCTGACCCACTCTTGTAGGTGATCACATGTTCTTCTCTCTTCTTAAAGAAGGTGTTGGCTAAAAAGAGATCATATGCCATTGCAAAATCCAAGATAGATTCCCCATCCTCGTTTCTCTCCCCAAAACCATGGCCACCATGAAAACCTCCATAGTTGCCTGTTTCCCTGCCCACGTGTCCATTTAAATCTCCTTCTATAAATAACTTCTCCGTTTGGGCAATTCCTTGCACCAAGTCTCCAATGTCTTCCCAAAATTTCTCCTTCGAATTCGTATCCAACCCTACTTGAGGTGCGTACGCACTAATCACATTGATGAGTTCTTGTCCTATTACAATCTTGATTGCCATGATTCTATCTCCTACCCTCTTGACATCTACAACATCTTGTGTCAAGGTCTTGTCCACGATGATGCCAACACCGTTTCTCGTTCTATTTGTGCCCGAATACCAAAGTTTAAACCCTGAGTTTTCTAGATCCTTTGCCTTAAGACCAACCCACTTAGTTTCTTGTAGGCACATAATATTTATCCTTCTCCTCACCATAACTTCCACTACTTCCATATATTTTCCCGTTAAGGTTCCTATATTCCACGTTCCTAAACGCATTCTATTCTCTTGAACTCTACACTTCTGTCCTAACTTCTTCACCCTCCCCCGTCTAATAGGATCAAAGTACTTCTTTTGTGTGTCATGTGTAAAGTTGATAGGAGCATATGCTCCCAAACAACTTTGAGTGGAGTCGTTCGAAAAGAAGTTTCTATGGCCCCTTTGCTCATTTAACACTGCATCCGGATGCCGATGGAGATACAGCGACCCTTGTTCACTTAACACTGTGCTCGAACCACACAGCGCGCCACTTACGGGTGACGCACTAGCTTTAGCGCGATTTCGTTCTAAATTCATTTTCATAGGATTCGACGTAAACAAGGAGTGCCGGCTGTCGACTACCTGACGCCCTCCCCCTCCTCCTTTATCCGGGCTTGGGACCGGCAAATCTATGGAATTGTTTTATGGATGAATACCAGAAGCAGGTCTCCAGGCTACATTGCCAGCATTGGAGTAATTATTTGAGGTTGAAAAATATTGGATAAATCAAACATAACATTGCTTGGCAGCACTGCTGGAAGAGGGCGTCCCTCCCTAAACCGCTCCATCAAAGATAATGTGGCATGATGGGTAGTCATTCTATCAATCTACACTGCACATTTAGACATGACTCAATTTAATAGTATATATTTATGGATTTTTGTATGTCAATTGGCCTGCAAAAGATTACTCCCAATCACAAATTAAATTTTATATCTACAAAATATCTATGGCATAAGCAAGTTTTTACATCAAAATACGAACACATCATGCAACGAATGAACATCCAGCAGCAAAGCATCTCGCAGAAAAATATGCTTCATTGAGCCCCTGTTATGTTCAGCAATTCAAGCTAATGAGAAAGTGCATTCATATAATCAATATTTAAAATAATATGCCCCTGGTTATCATTTTATACGGAATTCCTTCAGCAAAACAAGTATACAGCTTCAAGAACCTATTGTCGGTATAACACATTTCTAAAGTCTGCTTACCGCCTCAGGTCGAACACATACACCAGAAGGTATGTTAATAACCTGATAACATAACTCTCTCAACCTCACTAACTGTAGTATAAATTCTTCATCTACTTATTTTCTACCATTTGAACATCAATTCCACATTTACTAACACAAAATAAAAATCTCGGCTTAGATAAGAGAATTAAGACATCCCGAGCTCACATTTACCACTTCAACTACAATTAAACTACAAATTCAAAATCAATCTGATTCGGAACACAAATATAATCATACACACACATCCAATTATACATATATACACAAGCATATACATATATATAGAGAGAAGAGTACCTGCGCAAGGACCTGTTTGGGTGACCAGAGCCCTGGAAGAAAGCGACGGCTTCATTGCCACTAATCCGGCCATCGCGGTCCAAATCGGCCCGTCTGAAATACGCATCGAAGAGATCCACATTCGCCGATTGATCTGCGGCGATGCCATCGCCACCGTCGGATTGCGATTCGTGGAAGATCAGACCACGGAATCAATCGAGAGCGCCGCGCGCCCAGGC